CTTACTTATTTACTTGAGGGCTAAATACAAACAAAATTATGAAGAGGCCTCGATATGAGAAAGGACGAACTATGTAAATAGATGGACTCAACATATATTGTGGATAGTCCATTTCTATGTATGGAAAGCACCTGATTTTATAGAATATGTAACTTCCCTATTTGACAGTATGGTCGCAGATTGGGTAAAAATATATGATATAATGAAAAAGAAAAATATAGAAGGTATGAAACATATGACGCCTGGAGTAGCTCTGTCTGTAATCATGAATAAATTTTGTACGGACCTTTGCAGACAACCTTTTGATAAACCAGACCCTAACATAGAAAAAAACCTTATACAATTGCGACTAAGTCAGACTTGTTACTCAAATTTTTTTTCATAGATTATTTTAAATTAGTTCTTCTACTTGAGAACAAGCAACGAATGGACAGGGCCGTACCTAAGAATTTTGGGGCCCAAGGCGAAATATTGGATGAGGCCTAAGTGATACAACTCATAATACATTTTATCTCATTCTTCTTACCTTTTGAGCGGCAAAATTACATATTATTTTCAATATCTTGTAACATGGTTGATCTTAAATAAGATTTTAGTAATTTTAATTTTGAAAAACTTCTTTCAGCGGAAGCAACTGTTACGAGTATAGTCAATAGTACACGATAAGCAATACAAGTATTTAGAAAAGAATCTAACCACTTTATATAGTTCAACACTTCAATTGGACTATTAATCTCTATTTTTAAAATTTCCCTAAGCACTCTCAATTCTGAAAACAAATCAAGTCCATTAATATCTAAATGTTCATCATGTTTTAGTGCATTTTCGAGATTAAGATAATATGCTTTCAATTCAATATAATATAAAGCTTTTAATTTTTTCAAATCAAACAAAAAACCAAATTTTTTTCATACATTTTAAATTGTTCAAACCTACTTTCAATTGAGCCAAGCGATTTATCAACTATGTATAAGAAATATTTAATACGAAAAGATTCTTCAGCGTTAAATGTTGTTTCATTACCAATATTTTCATCAAATTATTTTTTTCTATAAATTTTACGTTTTTCACAAAATATAGGTTGTACGTCATTTCCTTAGCAAGTTCTTTAGTTGAATTCAAAGCAGATATAAAAACATTTTGTCTATAATTTTCTAAATATACAATAAGACCCTTTAATTGATCTATGACAATATCAATATGCATATCTTTAGATTGTAAGATTTTACTAACTGAATTAACAGCAAACAATATGTCATACCAAATATTCATAGCTATTAAGAATTCAAAATTTTCAATCTCATAAGTTGCTAAGCTATTAACTTCATTTTTTATCTTTGGATCTTCACTTTTTAAATAGGGTTAGGTTTATGCTTAAGTAACTAAGTTACATATATTATATATATGGGTGGGTGGGCCTTATCCAACTTGGGGCCCAAGGCAAAGGCCTTAGTTGCCTTATGCTAGGGTCGGCCCTGCGAATGGACTGGTGGATAGAAAATATCTTTAAGAAATTACCTAGACCATGAGATACTCTTTTAGAAGAATCATATTTAAAAAAGGTCCCTGAAAATGAAAGATCTAGTGGTGCTGTTCAACTCTTTATAATAAGAGAACTATAAAAGTATTATTAGCTATCCAAAGCTTTTAAACAAACCAAAAATAAGCTACAAGATGGCACCCTTGGTCAATCTTGTTGCGACAAGATCCAAGCACACCCCTTAAAATATGGTTGTTTTAAACCATATTAGAAACAAAAGCCATATAAAAAAAAATACCAAAGACCTTTAAGGCCATATAGATTTAGAAAAAGAAAATTTTGTTTAATGACCCTCACATATGTGATGTGGCAAAATTAAGCATAAATCTCAAGTGATGGTTATAGGAAAACCATCGATAAATAGGGTTTTCCTATAACCATCGGTAAATTTTGTAGCACTTAATGACCCTCACATATGTGATGTGGCAAAATTAAGCATAAATCTCAAAGGAATTGAGATGAATCCAGGAAGTCGAGTGCTAGGAATATAGTGGAAATCTGTAGTAGCACTTAGTCAAACCTGTATCTTCTTTAGTAAAATGTCTAAAGAAGTAATTAGCTTATTTGAGGTACAACCTGAAAAGGTGATACAGCCTAGAACGGTAGACCTAAACGATCTTAAAATTGACTGTGATTTGGCAATCAATTTAGATTACTTCAAACACTACAAAAAGATACAAAATGCCAGAGGAAACATTTATTGTTTCTGGCAATACAATTAGAACTACATATATAAATCCACCAAGAAAGAGTCTCTCTTTCCGAAAAGAAGAAGGCTCAACATCGTCTTCTAAAGAAAAGGATGAAATCTTAAATCCTTAGAGAAGTATACATCTTCTTATGAAACAACCAAGATGTCCAGTTATTACACCAGAAAATAAAAATAATGAAGATAAACTCATTAAATTTAGACAAGAAAACTAGGGTTAACTGTTTTACCAGTGTAACAATTGCATATCCAGACTATAAACCCTTTTTACTCCATACATTAATTGACACTGGAGCTAATATAAGCATTATTAGAGGGGAATTTGTTCCTTCTTCCTACAGAAGGAAATGTAAAAATCCTAAAGTCATTACGTTCTTTAATGCAAAGGCAACAACAATGACTCAAAAGGTAAAAACTCTCCCTGTTATATTTGAAACCGTTCATAAGAGGGAAGTTCCTATGACGCTTTCCGCCTATGTTATGGAAAGTGATCACACGGGAGACATTATTATTGGGAATAATAACATACATCGTTGGTTTCTTATAACCATCGATAAATATGTTATTAAATTCAGTTTTTGTTTAATGACTGTTAGAATATCGTTTAAAACAACCATATTCTAAGGAGTATCCTTGAATCTTGTCACAACAAGATTGACCATGGGCACTATCCTTTTAGCTGATTTTTGGTTTGTTTAAAGGCTTTGGATAGCTGACAATACTGTTCTAGTTCCTCTTATTATAAAGAGTTGACCAACACCACTAGATCTTTCACTTTCAGAGATCTTTTTTAGATATGATTCTTCTAAAAGAGTATCCCTGTGGTCTAGGTAATTTTTTGAAGATATTTTCTGTCCACCAGTCCATTCGTTGCTTGTTCTCAAGTCTAAGAACTAATTTAATATAATCTATAAAAATTCTTCCATGTAACAAATCTGACTTAGTCGCATTTGTTTAAGCTTCTTTACTATGTTAGGGTTTGGTTTATCAAAAGGTTGCCTGCAAAGGTCATTGGAAAGTTTATGCATAATTACATACAGAGCTACTTCAGGCGTTACTTTTTTCATACCTTCTATATTTTTCTATCATTATATCATATATTTTTACCCAAATTACGGTCATACCGTGAAATAGGGAAGTTACATATTCTATAAAACCAGGTGTTTACCATTCATAGAAATGGACTATCTCCAATATATGTTGCGTCAATCTATTTACATAATCCTTTCTCGTATCGGGATGTTGTCTATGTTAAAACAGAGTCATCCTGAACAACATTTTTGGATATTTACTATTTGTTGTCGTCTATATAGATGACATCCTTGTATTCTCTAAAATAAAGGAAGAACACAAAGAATACCTGATAGCACTAGCCAAACTATTGCTCAATCATGGTATTATCTTATCTCCTAAAAAGATAACCCTTATAAAAGAGGATATCTAATTTTTAGGAAAAAGAATAAAAGGTGGTCACATTGAATTGTAAGACCACATTATTACAAAGATCAGAGAGTTCAAAGACAACTTTGAAACTCTAAAAGATCTACAAAGCTTTTTGGGCTTACTAAATTATGGGAGACGATATATACCTAATCTCTCTGAAAAATTTCTTCATTTCAGAATAAACTTATTGAGGAACAGAAGAAATACAAAGAAATAAATAATAAATGAGTGACGGGTTGGGACACATACAAAATTAGAATTACACTAAATAATGAGCAATTGCAAGAAATTGTCAACATTAAAAAGAGATAAAAGGAATAAAAAATCCTTTATCAAACCCTATTTGGAGATACATTGGTTATACAAACTGATGCTTCAGATACACATCGGGCAAGATTCTTATTTGTACTTCTGCCTAAACATCATTAGGCTAAATCGATATCTGAACCTGGACCAAGGGCAAAAATCAATAAATTAGATCCTGAAATATGTGCATATTGTTCTGAAAATTTTAAAGGACCAGAGAAAAATTATGCAACATATGATAAGGAATTATTAGCTATCAAAAATACTATGAATTCCTTAAAAATATAGTTATTAGCATATCTGAGTTCATCATTGAAACAGATAATCAAGCTATTGCACAGTTTCTCAAAAAAAAAAAAAAACCAATTCATTAATTGAGAAGAACGTGCGCAGAATTAGATGGTCCATGAAATTAGAAAACTATATTTATAAAGTTCGATATATTCCTAACATTGCTGCTGTTTTTCTCTCCGGACATGGTTAGTTCGTCAAAATAGCCACCAGATAAAGATAAAGGAAAGGCGTCAGCTCCCCCACAAACAGAGGTAAAGGAGAAAGGTATGGATGAAAAAGTCCCAATACAACTTCTTGGCTAAAATCAATATATTAGAGCATGTTTGAGAAAGATGGGTTATAAACTTGGGTTATAATCTTTGTGGATTATAACCTAAGTGGATTACAATCCATAGTGTTTAGTAGATTTAGTGAATTATAATCCATTTTCAAAATGACCAAGAAAGACCCTAAATTAATGGAGTTGATGTTGAGTTAGTAAATGGCTCTGGGAAATTGTGAAATTATGAGAAGGTATACATGTCTTTTACTTGGTAACCTCATGGGTTATAATCCACCAAAAAATAAACTGAGATTCTCTAGATTATTTTTTGGTATATTATAATCCAAAATAATCCACTTGTCAAACATCGAAAAATGGATCATAATCCATTTTGACCATTTGCCAAACAGGCTCTTAGTCTTTTGTATTTAAGCACGCGGGAAAGGACCATACGAACTAAGGTGTAAAAATAAGGGAAGCATGAGAGCTTCTAACATACATTACTCTGCTCACAACTTAGCCCAGAACCATGCTAGAGTTCAGTTCGATTCTAAGCATGAAAATAATAATTCTTACAAGCTTGGCAGCGTTCTATCATCAGGATTCACTGAATCCACATAAATATGAACTAAAAGAATCTATAGACCTGCAGGCCTTCCATCTTTCCTTGGATCACTAACAGCGGTAAGCATACCATGAAAGATCCCATTTCTGAAGCCTCTCCTTTCATTTGAAACAGGTTGTTTTAGATTCTGCACAACAAACTGGCACACTGCAGCGGCACCTGATTGACTCTCGAGCTGATGGTTCCTTTCCTCCAAGAACTCCTTTGCGGCCTCTGCAAACTCAATGTGTTCTCCGTCGAGGGCTGTCCAATTCTCGTAATGCACAACGTTCGGTATCAGCTGCATTTGTTATTTAGCACCTTGTCATCAATTCTTGCAATATGTTCAAATAGTCAACTATATGTTCATCGGAAGGATGTTTTGTTCTGACATTGCTTGATACAGATTTAGAATCTCGGAACCTATTAATACTTGTTTTATAAGATGTCGAGAATGATGTGCAAGGATCCACGTAGTAGCAGAAACCAAATAAAATCTTAAGCTATGCTATTATTTACCCAATTTTAAGAGAAAAGCTTAATCTAGCTGCAAGGGTATTGAAGGTTACTCTATGATAGAATCGTGGATGCTGTACAGCTTTCAAAGGGTCCATCCCGAGAACAAAATGATTTATAAAAACTTGGGCCACCGCCGTAACTATATTCATCCCACCACTGGCCCCTATAACTGCTGCAAGCTGATTCTCCTGCAAAAACATTATTGTAACTTCTCAGAATGAAATTTCGTGAGATATGGTGACAGACTATTAAGAGAATTGGTAGAGTAAGATATCAGGAAGCCGACGATTCCTGGGATAATATTTACAATTAATGCGGTAGGCATACCTTGAGGACGATAAGAGGCGTCATGGAAGACAATGGTCTTTTATTAGGCTCAATAAAGTTTGATGGTGCAGGTGGGAGTTTATCTGGAGTTGCCTCTGATGGACAGGAGAAATCAGCCATCTCGTTATTGGCCACAATTCCTGTTGATGGCGAGAGAATTCCACTTCCAAAATAGTAGTTAACTGTGGTTGTCATTGATACAGCATTGCGCTCAGCATCAACTATAGAGATGTGGCTGGTTCCATGGTCCCTTAACTGACTCCATCTACAAGGAGATGGATTGTCACATAAAACAGCTAAAGCAGTGACGATGGACTTTGTAATACATAAACAGTGTATGACTTATTTATTGTTAAAACGGAAAGAAAAGGCTAATGATGCTAACATTCCAGTAAAGAAAGTTTTATGTCACTCTAGATGAAGGGGTTTCTTAGTTATGGTCCTGATATATATTGCTATAGGACAAAATAAAATGCACGAGAAAGTAGCTCAATAGAACTCGGAAGATTCACTTCGGTTGCCAAGAGAAAGCTAACAAGATATAAACGGCACAAATCTCAGCTTATGCTTTCCTTTATCGGTTGGTCAGGTTTTCATTTCATGAAGATAAGATGAAAGTTGTTGATGTACTCGTGATCACATAGTCAGTTATATCCGTGTTTGGATGAATTTGTTTAAGATCGATGAAGGAGACGCTTTCTTCCCTGACTTTACGTCTAGTTCTTGAATTGGGGTATCTGAAAAATCTTCACAAGTAGAAATTCGTAAGAGGGTGGGGTTTGGTTCCCCCGTTGTACCTCCGATGATTAAGTTAGCTGATGAACTTGAGTGGGGTGAATAAAAACTAAGAGTTATTGTGCATGTGATTGCTTAAGGATCTGATTTAGAAATCAAGATTCCAACCCCTTGTAAGGTAGAATAGTACTTGTATATGTACATAGGATGTAAGGGTAAATTGGTCACATTGACAGAGCACAGGATGACAGTGGCGAAATGTGGGCTGGCGGTTGCGTCAGCACCTGCTTTACAGGTGTCGGCTAGTGAGTGGAGGATGGATCACTTCGACATTAAATAGAAAGTGATTGGCGGTGTGGTGGTGCCCACGTGGTCCGATGAGTCATGAAGGCTATCGGGGCTAGGGTCATGATAGCACCTGCCAAGCATTAGATGTGATCTTGACACGTTGCCAGAGAGGATAAGCTCGAGGCAGAATATGTCATTTGCCTTCGTCGGGAAGTAACGCCTTTCGAGTCGGCTTCGCAAGAAGTCTGGCGAGTGGTCGAGTGGCCTCGTGGCGAGTCGTCTTCGATAAAGGGGAGGCGACAAGTTCCGCCTTTCGAGTGACACGAAGGAGCGTCAAGTCGTTGAGTCGGCGGAATGGTCGTCCCCACTGGTTTCTGGCCGCCAGGTTGATTGGGGCATAGCATGTAGCACACTTGCCAATGAACTTGCATTTTTAGCGAATGGGAACACCATAACAAAAGTCAAGAGAAAACATTATTTTCCTATCTCTTCCTATTCTATTTCCTTTTTTTTTAAATTTTCCATAGCTTCAGGTAAACATACAAATGCTTCATCCTTCTTAAAAAGATCTTAATTTTCTAATTTATATGTCAAAATTAATAACATTTGATTAACTACAAAAGAAAAGAAAAAGTGGCAATTCACCTGGCAAGATAATAAGCAGGACCAAAAGTTGTGTTGTCAAGTATCTTTTGCCTAACTTTCTCGGCAAAGGTGGGTGAAAGCATGTCTTCTACATATTCTGTGATGTTAACAAAGTTCGGATCCCCAAGATTCATGCGCATAGCCAACATGTGCTTAACTGCTTCAATGAGACGATGTAGACCAAGCAAGCCCCTAACTGCATCCAGTGTTTTATAGCTTCCTAAAATGTTCAGGACCTAGTTAACAGTTAACACAATAAACTTCTTAGTTGAGTTTCCGAACATTAAGGCATCACAAGTACAAGGGAAAAAGGGAAGATAAATCCTCAAGACCAACATAAATGTCAATCTCTGACCATGACTGTCAGGAAACAAAAGAATTGAAATTTTAACTAAAACGTGTGTTAACCTGTCAGTAAATTATAAAATAACAAAGATGTATCTATATTATCTGTATAAGGCACTACAAAAGTACTGGAAATGAAATATAGGAGGATTTAGTTGCGCTGAATATTTCTTAGATTGACAAATAACCTGGAAGTCTATCAACCAGGATAGGCTTATGGAGGATAAGCCTCATGGAATCAGAAGAATTATAGAGGATAAGAAAAACTCACCATAGACAGTCCAACAGTTCCACTTGAGGGTGGGGGCATACCAAGTATTCTATAGCCCATAACATTTGCAGACATAGCTTCGCCGACTTGAATTCTGTATCTCCTCATATCCTCCATTGTTGCAATTCCACCAGCGTTCTTCATATCCGCAATGAATTTCTCACCAACGCTCCCATTGTATAACACCTGTGGCCCCTCTGATGCGATTGCTTCTAGTGTGCTAGCAAGCTTGAGATTGTAGCAAATGTCATTGAGCTGCAGCGGCTTCCCATTAGGTGCAAACACCTCACGGAGTCCAGGGTCATCCATTATTGTTTTCTCATGGTCGTTAATGGATAAGGCTAGATATGGTTCAACTTTAAATCCATTTCTTGCAAGTTCTATTGACGGTTGGAAGAGATCGTTCCATGGGAGCCTCCCATACTTTGACCAAGCTGCATGGAGACCTGCTACTTCTCCGGGTATTCCCACTGACAGTGCACCCTCAGACTTGGCAGAAGGATTCTTATGATACATGTCCTGTTGCATTTGCAGAAGAAGACAAGAGGCCAACATATCCTTATTAGAAAGATGTTAGAGAGAGCTAACACATACATAGCTGAAATTTAACTAAGAGTATAGTAATGGAAAAGGTGTGCATACCACTCAATTTTTAACTTTTATTCAGTTCCAATCTCTCGGTTTTATTCACGTTTTGTTTCTCTTTTTTCATTATTCTTCACTAGTTCTCTCTCTGATGTTTTAACAGATTTCTCATACAGATGTGCCAGTTTAGTCAATTTTCATAATGACGTTGAATGGGAAAACTACTATCAGGTAATTTAATAGCAACAACATTAACATATAAATAACATCAGGAAACAATTTCATTATGCATAAAATTTAGAACGGTATCATGAAAATGTCAATAGAATCATGAAAACAACATTGGCAAAATTTAGTGGTCACAGTACAAACAGAATTATGAAATTAATTATAGTAGTAAGCAATTGATATCAGTATTCTAAGGGAAGAATCTCTACTTTAATTTTTTTAACTCTATCTGTTTACAAGGGGGATTAGCTGAAAAATCATTAGTGGTAGGGCAAAAGCATGAACAAAGTCGGGGGGTTGTCAAAGAAATGAATAAGGTGGATAACTTCTATATTTCTCACTAATTAGACAGGAACTACTTTGCTTATTTATGATGAAGGTAGCCAGGCCTTGCAATATTGATCTATGCATGAACTAGTTGGATAATTGCTTCAGCCATTGCTTCTCCTTCTGCAAGTTCTTTCTTATGATGTTGCCTAATGTCTAGGATGCATGAACTAGTTGGAGATAATTTTATATGATCTAACCTCGAGCAAGAGTAGCTTGCTTTTACTGTGATGAAGCAAATGTTAATGACAATTTATTTGGCCATTCCATCTAGGAAAATTTTAGCTTTACTTGCTTAAATGGACGAGAAGGACAAGCTTTAAAAGGGAAACCCATGACTGCATGTCATTAATCGAGGGGTTATAAATGCCCATAAAAAACCCAATCCAAATCAGTATTCTCCATGCTCAAAATACAGCCACAGATTAAATTGAGCGCAAATCTAAATGCTTCAGAACATACGTGTTACATCATAGAAATCACCAAATGTTAACCCCACTCCAGAAAGTGACATGTGTCTCAATTAACTGTACACCAACTCGACCCTTATCTCACGAGGGCCAACTCGAAAAGCGTCCTCACACGGATTCTCTCACGAAGACTGACTCAGAAGATGTCCCCACACAGAATGGCCGAGTCGAGGGGCGTCCTCACTCGCCCTCTCTCGAAGAGCCGAGAAAGACATCCTCACTCGGCCTCTCTCAAAAAGCCAAGACGAAAGGCGCTTGTTCTCGAAACTAGCAACGATAGTCAGTCACTATCACATTAAATGCATAGTCAGAGCCATCATTGCACCTCCGTCGGAGTCATAATGACTCATCAGACCACGCCGGTGCCATAACCCTCTGTCACAATCACATTAAATACAACGATGACTTGGATCACCCGCTGCCAACACCCATAAAGTATCAGCTGACTAAGCCGACTACACGGACTGGGCCAAAGTTACGCAAATGCCCATGATAGTTCTGTTGGATTTAATCTAATAAATCTATTTGTGGGCACATATGATTAATCAATGTGTATTGCTATCTTTCAGGATAACCCACTGAAGTGATCAATTAAGTTGGGTTAATTTGGTATTTAAATAAGTCATGGGGTTATATGTGCAGATACCAGGTTGTAATTATAATTTATTGAGGGGCTAAATTACAAAAATACAACATCTATAAATAAGGGGTTATGGTCCCTAACCTAGGGTTACATTCTCTAATTCTCTACACCCCCATCTAGCTAGAGAAATTCGGATTTAGAGAGAACCCTAAGGTTAGAAGATCCAAAACCCAAAATCAAGATCAAGCAATGGATTCAGGTATAAGCTTCCGCTCTTTTAGATCCTTGTTAATCTCTTTGAATTAATCATGGCTATATGGTTTTAGATCTCAAGTTTTATGATGTAGATCTAACAAGTGGTATCAGAGCCACCTTGATTAATTCTTAGGGATTTAAGTTTTATTGGGTTTTTTTTGATCTTAAATCTCTGGTTAAAGATTCAGTTTTTATGTTCAGATGAACAGTAATCTTTTTGTTTCGGATGAACAGCACGAAATTTTTTTGGGTGAACAGTAAAGGGTTTTTCGGATGAACAGTAACTTTTTGGAATTTTTTTGGTTTTTCTTTGATTTTTTCTTCAAATTTTTCCAATTCTGGATCTGTTTTGAAAATAAAAATCAAAGATTTTTTTGTTTGACGGCGGCGGTTTCAGTTTGAAACCCTAAGGGTTCATGGCGAAAATTAAGGAGGTGGTTACCTCAAACGAACCTCGCGTTCGTTCAATTTTAACCGAGCTTCGCGCTCAACGAACCTCGCGTTCGTTCTAAGGTGAACCTCGCGTTCAACTCAGGTGAGCGTCAAGCTCAATTTTAACGAACCTCGCGTTCGTTCTAAGGTGAACCTCGCGTTCAACTCAGGTGAGCGTCAAGCTCAATTTTTAACGAACCTCGCGTTCGTTCTAAGGTGAACCTCGCGTTCAACTCAGGTGAGCGTCAAGCTCAATTTTAACGAACCTCGCGTTCGTTCTAAGGTGAACCTCGCGTTCAACTCAGGTGAGCGTCAAGCTCAATTTTAACGAACCTCGCAATTTTAACGAACCTCGTGTTCGTTCTAAGACGAACCTCGCGTTCGTACTTTAGACGAACCTCGCGTTCGAACTTCAGACGAACCTCGCGTTCGTACTTCAGACGAACCTCGCGTTCGTACTTCAGACGAACCTCGCGTTCGTACTTCAGTCGAACCTCGCGTTCATTTTTTAAACGAACCTCGCGTTCGTTCCCAAGTTGAACCTCGCGTTCTTTTATCAAACGAACCCCGCGTTCGTTCATTTTCAGACGAACCTCGCGTTCGTGCTTAAGTGAGTCTCGTACTCAATACAGTCGAACCTCGCGTTCGAAGTTAAGGGAACTTCGTGTTCATTATGGTTAAGCCTCGGCTTTTCATGGGTCCACTTTGGTATACTTAATTTATTCAATTAAGTTATGGGCCCTAATTAAGCTGTGAGACCCCAATTAAGTTTTTGGAAATTCAGTTGATTTAAATTTTTTAATTTAAATCTAATTCGGTTTTTAATCAATTATTTAATTCAAATATTATGACACTAAGGTATTAAGGTTGTCTCTCACTCCAATTGATTAATTGAAACAAGAAGTTGCCAAAGTAACCTCTCTTGTGTAGATTGTTCATGAGGAATGTGAGATGTTTGTGTGTATGCTTTCGTGTAAATATTTAATCGGCCCAAAGGAAGGTTAATATTTATTTAGACTGTATACACATCTGCGATGATAAGCGTGTGACAATTATAAGGTTTACATGTGAATAATGAATCGATCCAAAGATAGTTTCATTATTTGACATGAGTTATTGTCAATGTTTGATCATTGCAACAAGGTATCACTTACAAGTTAATATTACTGTCCAAAGACTTGATATTAATGTTGTGCCGGTATCTTGGATGGGGATTGTCATTATTTGAATTTTATTGATTATGGTTATTGATGTGAGCATTCTTTTGTTTTATTTCAGCTAATGCATCTGCTGCAACAATTTCTGCTAACATCAACTCAATTCCCATGCTAAATGGGACAAACTTCAAGGTTTGGAAAGAGAACATATTAATTGTTCTTGGCTGCATGGATCTTGACTATGCATTAAGAACTGAACAACCCCAACCTCTCAATGCGGATAGCACTCCTGATGCAAAGAAGGAGCATGAGAAGTGGGAGCGTTCAAATCGCATGAGTCTTATGATCATTAAGCGCGGCGTTCCGGAAGCCTTCAGGGGCATAGAATCCGAAGGGATTACTAAGGCTAAAGATTTCCTTGCCGAAATTGAGAAGCGTTTTGCGAAAAACGATAAGGTAGAAACAAGCACGCTTTTAGCTCGCTTGATTTCAATGAAGTATAAGGGCAAAGGAAATATCAGGGAGTACATTATGGAAATGTCTCATATTGCTTCAAAGCTTAAGGCACTTAAACTCGATCTTTGTGACGAGTTATTAGTGCATCTGGTTTTGTTGTCTCTTCCTGCACAGTTTAACCAATTTAAGGTCAGTTATAACTGTCAAAAGGAGAAATGGACTCTAAATGAGCTCATTTCATACTGTGTGCAAGAAGAAGACAGGTTGAAGCAAGATAAGACAGAAAGTGCTCATTTGGCCTATGCCTCTAAGGATAAGGGCAAGAAAAGGAAGAATGATAAGGAAGCTGCTAAGGGTCCAGTTGAGAAGAAACAACATAAGGATAATCAGGGTTGTTTCTTCTGTAAGAAGCCTGGACATGTAAAGAAGGACTGTACAAAATATCACGCCTGGCGTGATAATAAGGGTACGTTCCTTGCTTTGGTCTGTTCTGAGGTTAATTTAGCTTCAGTACCTAGAAACACTTGGTGGTTAGACTCTGGTGCTACTACCCACATAAGTGTTTCTATGCAGGGTTGCCTGAGCTACCGAAAGCCAAGTGATGTTGAAAGACACATCTTTGTGGGCGACGGACAATCGGTAGATGTGGAAGCAATTGGGCACTTTAGGTTGTTGTTAGGAACTGGTTATTATTTGGATTTAAAAGATACTTTTGTAGTACCGTCTTTTAGACGAAATTTGGTTTCTGTTTCTGTATTGGACAAATCAGATTATTCTTGTTCATTTGGAAACAGTCAATTCAGTTTATCTTTTAATTCAAATGTTATGGGAACCGGTTACTTGAGTATTTATGACAACCTATATTTGCTCGATACAATTGCTTCTTATAATGAATCCTTGCATGTGGAATCACGTGGTACTAAGCGTAAATTAAATAAGGAAAATTCGGCGACATTATGGCATAAGCGCTTAGGTCATATCTCAAAAGGTAGAGTTGAGCGTCTTGTGTCTGATGGCATTTTG